TCGCTGTTGTCGAGAGTGCGATCCTTCGGAACGATCAGCACTGACGACGCTACGCTCTTGGTGGGCACAATTCGGGACAATGCGCTCCCAGACTGGTCCCCTGATCAGATTGCAGAAATCTGCACGGCGGTAGGGCAGAAGACGGGTGTGCTGACCAGCACCGCAGATAAGAAGTGGCAGAAGGTAACTGCATTATCGCGCTTCCTTTCGGCGTCTGAGGCGACCAAGTTAACTAGCGGCGACATGTCGCAGAAGGCGATGATCGCCATGGTGTGCAAGAGGGCCCATGCGATCGGTATGTACACTCTGTCCGAGGGGAGCAAGGGTCAACTCGCAGCGGTGGTATCGTCCCAACTCACTGGCGTTACCAACGACATGTGGTACGACATCCTGGTGCAGGTCAAGCTGAAGCTGGCTACCATGAAGGCACGAGACTGGAAACACAGAACTATATGGGAATACGATTCTCCAGACTCCCTCGAGAGCGAATCGTGGCACTATACCGCGTACCCCGAGGGAGACCCGCCACGCGGGCAGGACTGGTACATCGACGAGCCCGACTTCGTGCGACTGAGCAGTCGCTTGATGAAGGGCGGCAGCAAGCGGCCAAGCAAGTGCGGGACGACCGCCCCGCCCCGCCGCCGCCGACCGCCCCGCCTCCCGCCATTTGCGACTTCGGCGCCTACCAATCCATGTACGGGACGATGAACGCGTACCATATGTACGCTCATCCAGGAATGGTGCCTCCGCCAGGGATGGTGCCTGGCCAATCGTCACACTCTTGGTCGCCTCCGCCAGGGATGATGCCGAAGCCCAAAGCGCCACCGCAAGATGCGCCCTCACCACAGGAGGCGCCCCCGCCTGCGGCCCCACCAGCCGCGGGAGGAATGCCCGCCCCGCTCGGCGACTTATCTGATGAGGAGGCAGCGCTTCGCAAGACAATGCGCAAGCGTAAGGAGGCCGTGGCCCTGAGTAAACGTCCAGCAGCTGCTGGGGGCGATGCCGACGGCGTCGAGGGCGCCGACGACGATGGCGACGAACTCGCCGACGAGGAGGGGGGCCCGCCGAAGAAGGTCATGAAGGGCGCCCCGCCGAAGAAGGCCCTGAAGGTGGTCATGCGGAGGCCAAGCCGAAGCCGCTGCCCAAGGCCCCGCTGACGGGGGCCCCGAAGATCGAGCACCGCGCGGGGTATATACTCACGCAGCCAGACAAGTCCCAGTGCAGGGCTGTCCTGGGGCGGTCCGACAGGCGCATCCGCTGGGACACTGGCAGCACGCGCCAGGAGGCTTTCACCAAGGCGATGAAGTTCATAGACGAGCGCTCGTAGCCGCTTGTCTGCTCTGCTCATCGCCGATCGCGACTTCTCGCGATGTGTTTCGCTGTGCTATAACGCTTGTGTGCATTGTTCATGTATGCCTGCATGGTGCAATGTAAAATGCAAGTCGTTGTTCCACCGTATGCGAGGGGCACCCGTCGCACAATCCTCTGTTGCGATTGCAGATATCGCGTTCATGCTACCATCACTCAGTAGCAGTTTTGGCTCAATCCATGTCGGCGGGGCCACCGAAGCGTCGCAAGACAGACGCCGAAGCACTGATTGAGTTACACAGAGGCCCATATGTATCTGAGCGGAGTCTTACATACATTCTCAAGTACGTACGAGATAATGGTATACCAGGTAACATTTCGCGTTATGCGCAGTACAGCGCAAGGCAGAAATTCATCGGTGCCGAATCGAACCAGTACGGTGACGTGCTTGTCGGCATTGATATGCCATTGAACAGCGGTAAGAGCTTCAAGAACTGGGCGTGCGCCCCTGGCCCGTACTTGTACTCGACGGCGAAACGGAGTAAGGGGTTCAGAGATCTGTTGCGCCGCCAGCTCGCCAAGCACCCGTGCTCCCTAGCACCCCCATGGCGCATCTGTTTATCTTTCGACGGTATCTCACCGCGTGACCCGTTGGCCAAGGGCAAAGACCACCGAGGGGTGGATGCTGTATACTGGTCGTTTCTAGAGTTCGATGAGTTTTTGCAGGACGAAGACGCATGGCTCGTGCTCAGCACCGCTCGGGTTTCCAAAGTGAGGGACCTGCCTGGAGGGATCGGGCAGTCGGTTGCAATGACGTGCAACGAGCTCATGTTCAATACGTCTGGCGGGGTGAACTTTCGTACGACTGGAGTTATCTTGGACGTGTCAGAAGCAGGGGATGCCACAAGGCACGCGACTATAATCGCGAGGTTGGGCTGCACTGTGGGCGACGAAGAAGCCCTCCGTGAATTCCACATGAACAAAGGGCACGCGGGCACCAAACCGTGTGCCATCTGCAGGAACGTGCTCAACCAGAAGTTCGACTATGCGTCGCACGACACGTCTGGTACATTTATATCGGACGCATGCCTCGACAGAAGCAAACGCGTCGTCAACACAGACGCGCAGATCGTTGCTATCTTGGAAAGGCTACGCCCCGACTGGGAGAGGCACGACCGCGGTGAGATTAGCGACAACAAGTGGAAGGAGATCACGCAGCTAAAGGGTTGGAACTTTCATCCGACGCACGTTGCCTTGGACGCCAACCTCGCCTACGGTGTCATGTCGCTCCTCTGCTTCGATTGGATGCACATCTATAGCGTCAATGACATCGTAGCTAAAGAAGTAAAAGCTTTCACTGAGAACAAGGCGGTTTGCAAACTCTGCAGCGCCGAAGATCTCAACGACTATCTTTCAAACTGGACATGGCCCCACAAGTTTCACGCCGCCAATGCCGTGTTCGCACAGGGCGAACTACAAGCAAACGCATCGCAGGAGCTGTCTATGATTCCCGTGCTGGCGCACTTCATCAGGCAAGTCATTGCCAAGCTGCCTGATGCAGGCACCATCTCGGGCCATATTGCAAGTTTACTTGCACTGTGCGATGCCATTGATGTGGTTATTCTCTCGTCCAAGGGCCTCGCGACTGCACGTGAGCTGGATGCCGCCGTGATGAAGCATTTGGAGCTACACGCGCGCACATACGGGACTAAATATTGGGTTTACAAACACCATATGGCAACTCATCTTGCCGACATGTACTTCAAATTCGGACCCTTGAACTGCTTCGTCCACGAGCGGAAACACAAAGTTTGCAAGAAGTTTGCAAAGGACCATCTGTGCATGAGGACCCCCGAGAAGTCATTGATGATGCAGCTCACGGCGCAGCACAGTTACGACATGGGGCACTTCGGCATCTCAACGACGCTGGTCGACCCCGTAGCCGCCACCAAGAAGCCCATGGGCGTCTTGAAGGAGTTGCGCCCGCAAACGCAATCGGCATCATCGAGCCTCACGGCGTGGACCAAGTACGGGCCGATCCATAGAGGAGACATATGCTTGCTGGGACGTGCTGCAGGACATGCAGCCGTGCAGGTCTGGTTCCATGTAGATTGTGACACAGAGACTGCGCCCTCAGGGCCTCTATGCTTAGTCTTGGAATTGCAGACTCGGCACGTGCACAGCGCAGATTACTATTCTAGGTACTCCATAGACGAAGATAATAATCCCGCGCTCATTCCTTTGGACTCGCTGAGGCACCCTGTGATTAACAGGCGTCTCGGCGATGCAATCACTTGCATTTGGCCAGTTGAGTATCGCAAATTGGAATGCTGACGCGTTTGCGATGTAGAAGTATACATCTTCACATCAATGAATACATCTTCAAAACATCCCGCAAGAGACACAACATCGAAATTGAAACAACATTGAACGCCCCAAAATCAAGTATATGTTAGCCGAAAAACTATCATGTTATCCGAAATAAATCAACATGCGAACTTTTATAAATGAGTTATAACTAAGTTATAACTCCGCCTAGGTTGTGTATACAGCAGGCAATATGCCAGCACCCCCGCCGTCTCTGTCAACATCCAACGCAACGTGATCGCGGAATGCCCGCGCATGATCATTTTTTGTACGCAGCGACATGTATTTATTTTTGTCGACAGGAATGCTGCCATTGCGCACAGCAGGCAACATGCTGCCCCCCCCATTCCCACCGCCCCCCCCAACTGTTCGCAGGCCCCATGCGCATGACCCAAGATTTTGCCCCAATGCGCATTTCATCGTGTTTTTCTTGGCTGGGATGGTGGGGGGGGCATGGGTCCTGGTTGGCGGTCGGTCGCCTGGGTGAAGGGGTCTTTGTTCATTGGGAGCCGTGATAAGCTATTCCCTGAAAAGACAAGGAGAGAGAGTGGAAGATGAAATTCGCCAAGCCACTCAGTCCCAGCGTGCTGGTGTGAGTATGGCCTGCAATCGGCTGGGAGGAGGAGGGAAAAGGGGAGCATGTTACTCAAGCAGTGGCGAAGCGTCCTGGTTCGCCGATAAGCCCACCAAATACTGTTATAAGAATTTTCTTGCGGTTGCAACGACATGTTCCTAGAACATGTATGGCTGGGACTGCCTTGCTTGAACACAGAATGCTCATTTTCTAAGAGCATCGGTTATGTTCTTAGAACATTTGTGGGTTCTAAGAACATGTCGTGGTAGGCCTACAGAAATGCCGGGACGGTCGGTCCCTGCTCAAGTTACTGCGCCTGCGTCTTCGACGGCCGCCCGTCTGCCTCTCCCTCCGCCGCCGCTCTGCCGCATGCGCCTCGCGTGTCCTTGCTCTTCCTCGCCTGGCCTGCTGCGCGCGACGCACAGAGACCTGGCATCGCTCGGACGTGTGCATTTTTTCTCGGTGAGGACCATCGAGGAGCATCCTTGATCATTTGGCGAAAGAACCACGCACGAAACCGAAACAAAAACACAGGGAATGGACGTCCGAGCGATGGCCAGGAGACGCGGCTCGTCTGCGCGGACGTTCTCGCGTACGCTTACCGCGTCAGGTCGCGCTTAAGTGCCCTCTCTTCTGCGCGGGGTGCCTCGCTGGCGGCCCTCGCGACCTTCGCGTAAGGTCGCCATGCCATCGTGCGTGAGACCCCGTGCTTTTCGTGGCCCGTGTGCGCCAGCGGCGTGCGGCTCCACAGGTGGGTGACCCCGAATCCGGTGTGGTTCATCCGGCACCACCACCCGGTCCTCTCCCCGGGCGGGCGGGGGGCGATGCGGTGGGGGGTGGGTGGGCGGCGTTCTGCGCAACTCAGCGTTCCCGGGCCCTTTGGCCCCTGCCGGCGCACCTTGGAAGAAGGCGGAGGAAGACCAGGAGGAGAGTCGTGACAAAAACCACGACGTGGGGTGGTTGGCAATGTTCGGCCTCTGGCCGCCCGCGCCGGAAACGACTCGGGATGAAAAGTTGGCCTTGGGAGAAGGGTCGGGATTTTTTCGGGACCCCGCATCGAAACATAATCAAGACGCTGGACGCCTGGGGAGGAGGACGACGGCGACGACGGAGCAGCAGCAGCAGGGAGGGCAGGGGAGGAGAGAGAGAGAGAGGTGGGGAGGAGCCGACGCCCAGTGGGCTTCATCCGACACCATCACCTGGCTGCGCGTAGGAGTGACTTTTCGACGGAGTGACTTATAGTGTGGGCCCACAGGGGTCCCCCAAGCACTGGCCTGAGCGCTGGGATGTGGCTTCCCCGTGGTCCACCGCGCACCAGAGGTCACTCTTGCCTGGGGTCACCGTTGCGTGTAGCGGAATCGCCCGGTCAGCGCCAGGCGAGGTGGCGGGCGTTGGTGGTTGGAGGCAGTGCGTTCAGCTCGCAGCTGAGGCTCCTGGGCTCGGCGGGCGCCAGCTATGCCTCTACACCAACCCTGGCCAGGCCGATCTTGGGCCAAGGACTGGTGTTCGCACCTTCCTAGTCAAGCTACCAGGAGTGCGTACTCACTAATTCTGGGCCCACTCGGGGCCTGGCCAGGAGGGGCAGAGTTGGCGCCGCACCCAGGGAGGAGGCAGAGGAGGCAGTTTTGCCCTGAGGTTGCTCGCGCTGCTCGTGTTGCCAATGCTGATCAGGGGGTGGCTGTGGGCGGCTCGTGACTGCGTCGCCATTCGCAGGGAAAATAAGAGCAGGGAGGGGGACGGGAGGTGGAGGGAAGGATGGGGGGATGGGGCAGGGGATGGGGCAGGGGAGGATACGGAGGGAGTCTCGTTGTTTTTTGGCGCGCTCTGGTGGGTTCGGGGCGGTCACATGCGATTCTTCTGTAGGAGATCAGGAGGAGGGAGAGGAGAGGCGCGCCGAGCCAGACTGCCAGTGCACGTGGCGCTTGAGCTTTCTGCCGGAAGACAGAAATCATGGAGGCGAGGAGCACGTATGTCGAGCAGTGATAGGGAGGCAAACGCATAAACGCTCGGAGATCCGCCCGATGTTCTTGGGTCATCACTGGGCCACCCTGGCGGCGCCCCTGTTGCCCTCCCTGGCGCGGCTCGCGCGCCAGAGGGGAGAGCCTTTTGCCGACCCAAGCAGTCGGAACGGACCTCTGGACGTGTATGTTTATGTCGTTGCTCTCACCTATATTGATCGTAGTTTTAGGAGGGGGAGGAAGAGGAGGAGGAGGAGGAGGAAGAAGAGGAGGAGGAGAAGAAGGAGGAGGAGGAGGACCGTGCTGGCTTAGGACTGGGAGACATCGCTTCAGAGCTTTCCGAAGCGTTTTCAAAAGAGTTCCAGAGCTCTCTGGAACGGCCACGGCGCCCACAGCGCGCGCCCTCCATCGTTGGCCTAACTGTCGGCCATCCGTCCGCGCCTCATGTGATCGCAGGCAAAAGATACTGATGATGCTGCTGCTGCTGCTGATGATGATGATGGTGGTGGTGGTGGTGGTGATGCTGCTGATGGTGATGTTGATGATGATTTTGATGATGACGATAATGATGATGATGGTATGATGATGGCGACGACGATGCTTGTGATGCTGCTGGTGATGTTTATCATGATGATGATGATGCTCATGTTGATGCTGCTGATGATGAAGTTGATGCTGATGCTGATGATGCTGATGATGGTACGCATGCTGCTGATGCTGATGCTGATGATGGTGATGATGATGAGGATGAGGATGAGGATGATGATGATGATGATGATGATGATGATGATGATGATGATGATGATAATGATGCTCATGATGATGATAATCCTGCTAATGCTGCTGCTGATGATGCTGCTGCTGATGATGATGCTGATGCTGATGATGCATCCCCCAGGACCGCCAGATCTCATCAATGCCCGATGTATCCCTGTCAAGCCTGCCCCGCTCCTGGCCTCATCCTGGGGAAGGGACGGGCGGAGATGCGGCGAGGAGGAGGCGGAGGAGCAGCGGGAGCAGGAGGAGCAGGAGGAGCAGGAGGAGCAGGAGGAGCACGAGGCAGGCGAGGGCGCACGGGAGGGAAAGGCGAGGGCGGACAGTGCACCCAGGCAGGCACCAGAGGGCGGGCAGCGCGCAGGCCACGGATCGCTGTGCCCCCTGGCTCGCCTCCGCATCGGGCCTGCTCCAGCGGCCCAGCGCCTTCCTCGCGAGCGCTGTCAGGGCGTCACCACCCACCAGACGATCCCAACCCAACCCGAAGGCCCGGAGCTGCCCTCCATCTGCAGTGGGGGGGGGGGGCGGGGACTATTGAGAGCAACACATATGAAGCCCGTATTCCCCCCCCCAACCCGACAGTCGGGTCTTCGGGTTCGGTTGGGGTTGTCTGGTAGGTAGTCAGATTGCCCTCCCAGACAAGTCGACTGAGGAAATCTGTTCCGATTCACTCATCTGCATCCGAGTGTATTGGTGTAGCCCCCCGGTCGGTTTCCTTGATCGACGAGCGGCTCGCTGGATACGTTGGCTCATTTTTGAACGTCGATCAGCTACTCGGCTGGGGTCCACTCGGAATGCTGTGCCGTCCGCACGTTGAGTACCTCTGGCAGTTTTCACGAACGGGGGTCTTGCTAAAGGGGGTTATGTCAATCCTCGATTCTCGGCCCTCGCGCACCAGGCCCTCCTCCCTTTCCTCGTCACCTCGCCGCTCGGGTGAGCGGGGGCACGAAACTCGCAGCTACAATTGCTGGTCCTAGGGCGATCGCGATTCTTCGAATCGGCGGTCGTGCCCCCATGGGCGCCGGATCGCACCCCCTCCTCGCCCGCACCTGCCTCTCTTGGCTCCCCAGCGTCGCCCCGCCCCTCGCTCCTCTCTGCCCCCCCTGCGCCACTCCTGCTGGGCACGCTTTCCACCACCACCACAAGTTGGAGGGGGAGGGGGTCCTCCTCCTCCTCCTCAACCTCCTCCTCCTCCTCTTCCTCCTCCTCCTCCTCCTCCTCCACCTCCCCCACCCCCTTCCCCCCTCCAGCTTATGGTGGTGGTGGACATGTACAGATTCCTCCTCCTCCTCCTCCTCCTCCTTCTCCTCCTCTCCTCCTCCTCCTCCTCCTCCTCTCCTCCCCTCCCCACTCCTTCCCCCCTCCAGCTTATTGTGGTGGTGGAACATGTACAGATTTCCTCCTCCTCCTCCTCCTCCTCCTTCTCCTCCTCCTCTCGTGGCCCTATTCTGAAGTCGGGCCTGTCCCTCCACAGGTGAGAATTTCAAAAGAGTCGAGATATCGTCTGGGGGCGATGTTTATATATATATATATATATGTATATATGTATATATATATATAGATATGTACATACACCATTTGGGGAATCTTTGTTTCTGCTATGTTTAATTTATGTCGTCCAAAATCCCCCCGTAGGAGGACAGGCCCGATTGAACCCTATCCCCGCGGCCCTCCCCCTCCCCGTCCCCCAATCTTCATCGGGGTCAGATCGCCCCCCGCTGGGCGTGTCCGGCGGTGCGCTCTGGCAGGAGGCTCGAGCGGGCCCGTCGGCGTGGCCGCGAGGCGCTTCCTGGAGCCCCAGGGGGGAGCGGGGGGGGAGCAGAAACATCGATCCTGCGCCGCCTGAATCTCAGTACATCCACTGTCGCTGGTTCGTGGTCCGAGGACTCGAGGAGCGGTAGATGTGGATATCTGCCCACCCACGCGGGCGGGCAAACATCCATATCCACCGCTCTTCAAGATCTTAGGGCACAGTTCCGAAGCAGTGGATATGGACATTTTCCGTATTCTGGCGGTGGAGATTCTTTTCGTTCTCCCCCCTCTGGGGGAGATTTTTCTCGAGCCTCAGTGGTCGCAGCTGTTGTGGTGTTGGGGTTCGGCGGTGCCTCCACGCGCGATGACCACCGCCAACTTGTGGCGACTCTGGCGCCCAGCGTGGCATGCACGACGCAGGCCATCCTGGGGCATTCTCGGTGGGGCCGCGGACAGGACTGGGACGAGGCGTTGGGGTGTGTACCCGATGCGCTTCGCTCCGTGGCCGGGTGGGCGGGCTCCGCAGTGCGCAGCCAGCTGCTGCGTCGGTGGTTGGGGGCGGGCGCGCGGCACGGTGCCAGGCGGGCCGTGCTCGGTCGCGTGGTGTGGCGGCGGGCTGCGACGCAGCGCGGCACGGTGCCAGGCAGGCCGTGCTCGATCGCGTGGTGCGGCGGCGGGCGGAGACGTGCGCCTCGGCCGGCCACTCGGCTGGCCTCGTGGTGGCATGGGGCCCGAAGGCCCGGGAGCCTCAGCGCGGGCCGACTTGCGGACTCGCGCCCGGGGCGTGGCCTCGTGGCCTTCTCGAGGAGGAGGAGGAGGAGGAGGAGGAGGAGGAGGAGGAGGAGCGAGGAAGGTGGAGGAGGAGGAGGAGGAGGAGGAGGAGGAGGAGGAGGAGGGGGGCCTCTCGAAGAGGAACGTTCGAAATGCCTTTGGGCCGCTAGCTGGAGTCAGCACAGGCTGGCTCAGGCGAGGCCGAGGTTTTCCACAGTGGGGCGCTGTGCCCCCGGCTGCCGCTTCGATTGGCCCTCTGGTGCCCTGTGACTGGGGAGCTAGTGGGGGTCGCGGACGCGTTAGGTGCGGCCACCGGTGACGTTCTGGATCGCGACGGGGCTGGTGGGCAGGACGACACCTGCGTTCGTCCAAGCCGTGTGTGCCGAGACGGGAGGCCCAAGCCGAGTCTCTGGGCGACCCTGGCAGCGACCCGTTCTCCTCCGTGGAGGTGGAGGCGACTGCGGGGGTGTGCGTCTGCCCTGGGCCGCTTGCTTGGCGGCGCTGCCCACGAGGGTGCCTGGTCACGTGGGCTGTTGGGGTGT